TTCTTTTATTTGTATTTTGTCTTTGATTTCCAAATACAGTCTTTTAGTTAGCTTCTCACTTATCTTAATGTTGGCGGGGGACAGGGTTCAAGGACCTAGATCTTGTGATCATTTCCTCTTTCTGTATTTTCAGCTAAAAGACTCGCTTATGACCATTAGTTTTTTTTTTTGAGCCTAAGTTTATTGTAAAGAGATCATTAGACTTCCCATCCTTTTCTTGACTTAATTTAATTTTTCATTAATGTGTTTTGATTATTCATCTGAATTGGTCTCAGTCTGATATTTCAACACATGGTGCATATCACAGGCACTGATCAAGTCAGGGTGATTGACATTTCCCTCTCATTATCATTGCTTTATATTGGGAGCCTTGACCTCCTCTTAGATGCTCATAAAATAGATGATAGGTGCCGGGTGTGGTTGCACACACCTTTAATCCTAGCACTCAGGAATTTGGGAGGCAGAGGCAGGTGGATGTCTATATATATATATGTCACATATGTGTGTGTGTGTGTGTGATAGGTTACAGTGAATGGCAGTTGTCCTACTGTGCTGTGGAGCATGAGAACATGAGAACCCATTCTGTCCTTATAATTGGGTATGATATGCCACTTCCCGTTGTTACCCCTTTTCCACATGCAGGTGAACTCTAATTGCTTCCACATACAAGAGAAAGCATGAGGCATTTGCCTTTCTGTGTCTGACTTGTTTCTCTTAACATGATATCCTCTGCTTCCATCCATTTTGATGCAAAGGATAGGATTTCATATGGTGGAATAATAATCCATTGTGCATAGATGACATATCTTCTTCATTCATCTTTTGATGTGCACCTAGGTTGATTCTGGTCTTTTTACCTATCATGAATAGAGTTGCAATAAACATGCAAGTGTAGCTAGGTCCTTGATATACTGACTTCCTTTGTATTGGATACTTATCTAGATGTGAGCTAGTGAGAGCCCATAGTAGGATTTCTTGTTTTTTGCTGTTAAATTTGTTAACTTCCTTGTATATTCTGGACATTGGTCTTTTGTCAAATGAATGTCTGGCATACATTTTGCCCCGTTGTGTAAGATGTCTCTTCATTTAGTCAACTGTTTCCTTTGCCATTTCTTTCCTGTTTAAGTCAGTGTAATTTCATTTGTTTCGGCTTTCTTGTATTTTGGGGTCATAGAAAAATCATTGCCTATACTGGTGTCTTGAACTGTTTTTCCTCAGTGTTTTCTTTGGCCGGTGTCATAATTCTAGGTCTTATCTTTACGTCTATGACTCATTTTGAGTTGAGTTTTGGTAGGGAAGAGATAGGCGGTTACGTTTCAGTGTTCTGCATGTGGATATCCAGTTTTCTTGGCATCACTGATTAAGGAGGATGCCATTTCTCTAAGGTATGTTCAGTGCCTTTGTTAACAATCAATTGGCTGCAGATATATGGCTTTATTCCTGGGGCTCTGTTCTGTTCTGTTGGGTTACAAATACAAGTGCCATGTTGTTTTGATTACTATGAACCTGTAGTGTTTCTTGAAGTCACGTGTTGTGATGCCTCCAACTTTGCTCACTAGGTTCTAGATTGCTTTGTCTATTTAGGGTCTTTTGTGTTCCCATATGTTTCTGAAACAAATTTTCTTCTTGTTGTTATGTCAAGAATTTTATTAATATTTTATGGGGATCCCATTGAACTAGTAAGTTACTTTGGGTAGCACAGACATTTTAACAGTATTCTAATTCATAAACATGGGAGATTTTTCCATTCTTTGGTGTTTTTCCATTTCATTAATGTTTTGTAATTTTAATTGTGAATGTCTTTCATTTCCCTGGTTAAATTTTAGTTCAAGGCATTTTTTTTTCCTTTTCTTGTAGGTATTGTGTAGAATTGCTTTCATGAATTCTTTCTTTGGAAGTTATTGCTCATAAAAATGATATTGAGTTTGTATGTTAACTTCAATCCTACAACTCTACTAAACTCGTTTTTCAGCTCTACTGCTATGGTAGAAATTTCCATCTTTCCTTTTTTTTTTAAGTTATAAGATAAAAACTTTGAGCCTCTATCCAGCTGAACACAACTTGTGGGTTGATTTGGTCAATTCATTTCCCAAATGTATTGCTTCAGATTTTAAAAAAAGATTGAATTATGTTTATTACTGTCATACACAAGAGGAAAATTGGACTTTTAATATTTCAAATGGTCACTTTGCATTTCCTAGGCACAAATTAGAACAATTAATTTTATTCTAAAACATTTGAAATAGTTTTAGTTTTTGCAAAGAACTTGTTAAGTAAGGATCATTTATAGCACTGTTGTGTGTTGGTAAGTGTTTAAGGATCTTCTTTTTAATCAGAGTAAAACGGAATACATGAAATGATAGAAAAATATTCCACTCTAGGCTGCTAAAGGATTCTTTGGAGAATTCAAGTATGATCAAAACTGATTGCATGATACATCTTTAGTTTGATTTCTAAAATTTAAAGACTACCAAGAGGTTTATAAAATGTTGAATATCATTGGATTTTTTTTCTACTTCTGCTCAGAATAATTCCAAACCAATTATGCCAATTTGTGAGTGGTGCTTCAGATAATTAAATCTGGAGACTATTTTTGTTGTTTTTATATATTCACTATATCCTTAACAATAACTAAAAAATGGTCAGTATTGCTAAGGAAATCTCTGTGAATGTAATATAAACTCTGACACAAATATGAAAAGTAAAGGGAAATATTGAAGGAAGAGCACATGAGCAAAACTATTTGACTTTTATCTCTAAAATTTAAATAGTCTTTTAAAAATAAATTACTACTTTTTATTGTTGTTTCTGGAGACAAGGTCTCCCTGTAACTCCAGCTGGCCTGGAACTCACTATATAGACCAGGCTGCCCTCAATCTCACAGAAATACACCTGCCTCTGCCTCCAGAGTTCCAGGGTTAAAGGCATTTGCCACCACCATGTCCAACTTTCAAATTACTCTAGGAGGGGGTCTGAATATGATCAAAATATATCATATGAAATTCTCAAAGAGCCAATAAGAATATATTTTAAAATATTAAAAGAAGTTTAGGTTTATCACTGGTACATATACACACCTGTATGGCTCAATGAATGCACAGATCTACACATGCATGTATGTAGAATTTAATCTTGAGAAATGCTGAATCGCACATCACCTATCCAATAACCAAATTTAAAACCTAATATTATCTCATAACATTTATTTAAGTGTATAATTTTGGATTCCAACTCTTTCTCCTGGAGTGTGCAATTCAGTTTTATGGTAAAGCCACACAGTTGTGCAGTTCTCAGCACACTCTATTTAGACTATTTTCCTTCAACCCAGGGGACCACTTGGGTCCGCTGCCGTCAGTCCTTCTCCTTCCCCCACCCCCAGGATCTACTTTCCTATTGCAGGTCTTCTGTTTCTGGGCATTTCTAATCTGCGGCAAGATACACCGTGTGTTCTTCCAAATCTGCCTTTGTTCTTGGCATCATGCTTTGGTGACTCACTCATGCTGTGTCACATGCTGGTACTTGGTGACTTTTTATTCCCAAACGGCATTCACTGTAAGGACAGACGTTATCTCTTGCTTATCCATCAGCATAACATATATTATTAAAAATAGATTTTTGGGCTGGAGAAATGGCTCAGCAGTTAAGAGCACTGACTGCTCTTGCAGAGGACCTGGGTTCGATTCCCAGCACCCACATGGTGGCTACAAACCGTCCTTAACTCCAGTTCCAGGGGAATCCGAAGCCCTCTTCTGACCTCTGCGGCATTGCACGACACGGGTGCACTCACGTACATGCAGGCAATACACTCATGCATATAAAATAAAAGTAATAAAGAAAGTATTTAAAAAGATTTTCATGTACATATATTTGATCCATTGGGTTGAAGGAAATATTTCAAAATGGACTGTGCTGATAATTGCACAGCTGAATAAAGTCACTAAAACATTGAATTGTATACTGTGGAAGAATGGATTATAATTTAGAAATGATCACTTAAAGGTATTGTATGTATACAAAAAACTAAACAGAGGCAGCAGAAAAAAGACAGCTGAGGTGGTGTTTTTGTTGCTTACTTTTATTTTTATTTTTTGTCCTTTTGAGACAGGGTCTCCTTGTGGTCACAGCTGGTCTGGAACTCACTATGTAGACCAGGCTGTCCTCTATCTCATAGAGATCTACCAGCCTCTGCCTCCCGAGTGCTGGGACTAAAGGTACGCGCCATGACTCTTGGCTTTTCATGGCTTACTATTTTATATGGTTTACTTTTTCACGCTTAGAATTCTGTGTTATTCCCCTAGGAAATCATCTACTTATTTTTGGCTTTTTATTTTTTTCCTTTTTTGAGACAGGGTCTCTTTGTACTGTCAGCTGGCCTGAAACTTGCTATGTAGACCAGACTGGCCTTGATCTCACAGAAATCTGCCTGCTTCTGCTTCCTGAGTGCTGGGATTAAAGGCATGTGCCACCACATCCAGCATCTTTGACATCTTTTTAGAGTATACAAACACATACATATAACATACACTCGTCATGTGTACATATACACATATTGTATACCTCTGAACAGTCATTTATTTTATATTTCAACAAGAAATACAGGTTTTTAAACTTTAAACACAGGTTTTAATATTTTAACTCATGGTTACCAAAGCTAAGAGAAACAACTATACTGACCTTATTGGGTTATGATATATCTGAATTAGATATATACAACCATGCTTTAAATTTTAATTAGTCAGTTAATTATTTCAATAGGGCCTCACATATTCCAAGCTGTCCCCAAATGTGATATGTATTTGAGGATGACCTTGAATTTCTAATCCTCTAGCCTCCATATCTTGAGTGTAGTGCTGAGATTACAGTCGTGCACCGCCACACTTACTTTATGCAGTGCTGGTGAGTAAAACCAAGGCTCTGTGTCTGCTAGAAAGCACTCTACCAGTAGAACTACACCTCTGGCCCTGTTCTGCGATTTTAAGGCCCCCTGTGTTTTCTTTCAGGATACTTTGGCTCTGCTTGTGAAGAAAAGGTGGATCCCTGCATGTCGTCCCCATGCCAGAGCAATGGTACTTGCTATGCGGATGGACTACACTTCACCTGTGGTTGCAGCCCAGGCTTCACAGGGCCCACCTGTGCCGAGCTTGTTGACTTCTGTGCCCTTAGCCCGTGTGCTCACGGCACATGCCGAAGTGTGGGCACCAGCTACAAATGCCTCTGTGATCCAGGTTGGTCCTCCTTTGGAGACTGTAAGTCTTTTTGCAAAAGGCTGTTAGTTTTTCTTTTGCATCTGAGGAAATGTCTGTCTATAGGACATGATATAAATAGATGCTAATTTTACTCATTTATGACATGCTTTATCTTTAGACTTATTGTTCTACTTTGTTTCTCCATTGCTGTGACAAAACACTCTGACCACTACCAACTTGGGGAGGAAAGGGTTTGTCTTACATCTCCCGGGTCACAGTTCATCAGGGAGCCCAAGGTAGGAACTCAGGGCAGGAACCTGGAGGCAGGAGCTGGAGCACAGGCCATGGAGGAATGCTGCTTACTGACTTGCTCCCCTGACCCCTGCTCAGCCTGCTTTCTTATGCAACACAGGCCCACCTGCCCAGGGGTGGCACCACCCACAGTGGACTGGGCCCTCCCACATCACTCAAAAATCAAGAAGGTGCCCCACAGACATGGGCACAGGCCAGTCCTATGGAGGCAATTCCCCACTTGAGGCTCCCTCTACTCAGGTATGTCAAGTTGACATTAAAGCTATCCAGCACACTTAATCTTTTAAAATACTTCATTATTTTATGAGTGCAGTTCCTGCATATATGTAAGAGCGCCTGTGCTGTATAGTACCCATGGAGGTCAGGAGAAGGTGTCAGATCCCCTGCATCTGGAGTTAAGGATGGTTGTGCTTGGGAATCGAATCCAGGTCCTCTGCGAGAGCAGTCAGTACTCTTAACCACTAAGCCATCTCTCTAGCCCCTGGACTTAATCTTTATAGGGTTTAAAAAATGCCATTTTTTTTTTTACCATAGGCAATTACATTCATTATAGGAAAAATGGAAAATACAAAAAGTAAAAATAGAGTTAAAATGGAATAAATCTTCTAACACAATTTACTTTTAACAATTACTCTAGGTCATTCCAGAGCTTTTACTGTGTGGCATATATTTTGCTAATATGTACTTATGTTAAATGGGTTTTTCCCTTTTAATGTCTATAAAAAGCACAATGCAGTCCGTTCATAGCTGACTCATCTATTACTATTCTTACTCTGTGCACACAGTGCTATATCTCTGACTTCTGTAAATATTCAGTAGCTCCATCATTTATTTTCCAAAAGTCTTTGCATTTATAATGCTGGGTTTTTTGTTTGTTTGTTTGTTTGTTTTTGAGACAGGGTCTCCCTGTAGCTCCAGCTGTCCTGGAACTCACTATGTAGACCAGGCTGGCCTCGAACTCACAAAGATCTGCCTGCCTCTTCCCCCCAAGTGCTGGGATTAAAGGCGTGTGCCACCACGCCCTGCATAATGCTGGTTTTTTAGTTGCAGAAGTTTTGAAACCCAGACCTCAGAGTGATGACTGGTCCCAAATTGTGTCTTCCTAACCTACTGGTGTGGTCTAAAAAGCATGCACATCCAGCCCCTTTTCTCTCATTTCTAGTCTACCCACATCTCCATCCTTGCATGAGCTGTCTTTAGATGACTTCCTAGCACAAATCCCCACATGTGTCTCTAACCATATGGGTAACTAACACTTGGTTTCATTAACTCCTGGCTCTGCCCTGGTTGTGGGATACCTGCTCTGTGCATCTCCATCTCTCTTCAGGAACTGAGTTTCCCTTCCCAAAGTCCCCAAATCACCCACAATATCACTTTCATCATCTTCACAAGAGGATACAGTCATGTACCTCATAGGGATGTTTTTGTCCATAACAGATGCCATACAACAGTGGTCCGTAGGATTAAATAGTGTCTGGATATCCTAGCCATTTTAGCTTGTACAAGAACACATGATGTTTGCATAATGATGGAATCACTTAACAATGCATTACTTACAATTCATCCCAGTCCTTACTTGACATGTATTATCGTGGTGGTATGTGACTCTCTACCCCAAGGGTGAAGTGTGTGTGTGTGTGTGTGTGTGTGTGTGTGTGTGTGTGTGTAAACAGCTTTTCAATCAACAACAATACCTCTGAACTGCCACTGAGTGAGTGGTCATCTTCTTAGGTTCTTAGCTGGATGTTTGACATAATTGTTCCTTTCAGGGTCACATTCATGCAGAATATCTCAAAGGTCACTCAGTACTTTTAGTACCAGACTGACAGAGGGCCTGAGCCTACTAGATTCCAACCCCAATGGTCCTGGCTCGAAGGCCCCAGTGTCTGGCCCAGAACTTCCCAAGGCCACGTCCCATACTGACAGACCAATTAAAGGAATTAGTGGGAAGCACAGCTAAGCTTTCGAAGGGTGTTGAAAGCTTTTTGCACATAGACTCTTAATTCTCTGATTTTCTAAGGAGTTGATATTTTGCCAAGTTCTTCCTTCCTCTCTGCTCTGAAATACAGAGGAGGTGCTGTTTAATCTGCTGGTAACAGTGTTAGGCTTCTCCAGGGAAACAGGAGACACACACAGAGATTTATTTTGAGTAACTGGCTCATGCAATTGTGGGGACTGGCAAGTCCAAAATCTGTAGGGGAAGCTGGCAGGCTAAAAACTCAGGCACGATTTTTGTGCTGTGCTTTGAAACTGACATCCTTCTTCTGCAAGAAACCCAGGTCTTTGCTAGTAAGGCCTGTGGGAGCTTGGATGAGTCCTACCCTCATGATGGGAAGTGATCCAGTCTACTCTAGACTACAGATGCAAATGCTTATCACACCTGAGAAAAAATTCCTTCATTGCCACTTGTAGGTTAGTTGAACCTATGAAGTGAACTATCATAGTAATATTTATGGGTTCCTTGTAAACCTTGCCATGAAGTACCTTAAAATCTTTGTATGACATTTGTGTCTTTTCTGGGTCTGCACCATGTTCTCCTGTCAGAGCCTTGGTAGACATGGGAGTAGTTGCCTCCCCTCGAGGGCCTATTTTTCACTTCTATAGGTCTAAGCAGAGCCACATGCTGAGGAGGGAGGCAGACCAGGACTGTGCCCTTCCTCACTGGGAATGCCCATCCCTAGGCCAGTTGGTGTATGCAGACTGAACAGGTGCCTCTGTGCTGGGAGAGAACAAACTTCACACATGGCATGCGGAGGGGGACAACTGGATGGCCACAAGCTCTCTCAGATATCATAGCACAAAAAATAACACTGAAAATAAATTTAAAAAGGGCTAAAGAGGTGGTTCAGGGGTGAGAGCACTTGTGACTGGTGCACGGGGCCAGAATTGGGTCACCAGCACACACAATGGGTAGCTCACAACAGCCTATAATTTCACCTCCAGCAATTCCGATGGCCTCTTTTGGTCTTCACAGGCACCCACACATGAATAAAAAATAAGAAGAAATCTTAAAAAAAAAATTGCCATAGCATGGGCAGCAGGAACTACAACCTTCCTGTCAGGAAGTACCTTCATCCTCTTCCACCTGCCTCCTGAGAACTTTACTTCCTTACGTGAAGCCCCGCATCCCAAATAATGCAAGACCAGAAAACAGCCTTGTTTGCTTGTTCTTTTGACCATATTACATTTTCTGACATATTTAATTGGTTTACTTTAAAAAAATTAAGTTGGATGTAGTTATTTGAAGATAAATGCCATTTTTCCCTCTCTGTGTCTCTGTCTCTGCTCTCTCTCTCTCTACCTCCTTCCCTCCCTCCATCCCTCCGTCCCTCCGTCCCTCTCTGTTACATGCTCCTAAGCAGTAACTAACATGGTTCTGTGTTTCTCCTGCTCTGGGAGAGGCGGCAGTGGGGGAAAGGACACATCTATGAGATTCTTACTTATTGACTATGAACATGAGAAATTTACAGGGCATCTCTGCACCTCAGTTTCTTCCTTGGTTGTACTTGGTTTTCTTTCTTCCTTGGTTGGGGGCATTCAGGGAAGCTCCTCTGTTGGTCTCATATTGACAGCTACTCATTCAAACTTTCTTCCCATCCATAGGAATTCCAGTAGCCTCCTTTGAGGTACAGGGGACTGAGACATCGCCCACTATGTTCCACTTTCCCCTCCCTCTGCTCTCTGCTAAGACCATACCCATCTGGAGCTTTTAGCTTGGTAATTGCCTGTGGTCCAGCACTAGCTCTAAGTGTCCTTGAAAATCCCCCAAATTGCATCTTCCATTCCATGATACCTTCATTTAGTAGGCAGCCTCCAATGGGGCTCTGGGGTTCCATCATGGCTTGCTATCAAACCTGGGAGAAAGAATGAGCTTTCGGATGGTTAGATAACTTTATGTGAAATAAAAAGGCATTTAAACATCTGGCAAGAATTTACATTTTAAGAGGTGAACATAAGTCTGTGAATGTGAATTTCTCATCTTAATCTTTTGGAGAATGTAATTGCTTTACCAGTAGTTTGCATAATAGAAGAATCTTGTAAGAATCGGTGAAATTGGGTGTCTAGCTCTAGAGTAGTGGGCTGGATCGTCTCTATAGAGAACAAACAGATCCTGTTTTGTAACTGGCAGCAGATTGGCAATTAGTTCCTATCTGAAAAAAAAATGCCATTTTGATTACTGCAAATCAGATGTGTCAGGTGTTAGTGTTTTCAAGCCTCAGTTCTGGCCATCATTCCCAGGCTTTCTGATGGGGTTTTAATACTAAATAATAAAATGTCACTTTTGAGTAACTGCTAACATATCATCCTCCAGTGAGTTTTTAAGTTATAGGCCACCAATGCCACCAATTCTTAAAAATATTGTAAATTGAAATCTCCCCAAGACTGGAGAGTTGAGTCTTGGAGTTGTTGCAGATATTAGATGTGAACATGCCAAGGACACATGGTGGCTGTTTCAGTGGTGCCATGACATAGTATGTCCCTAGTACAGTGGGGGCATCTTTGAGGTAAACTATTGGAGGTTCAGTGCTGTAGATTACCAGTGCTAGAAGCAGTGGCTGATGGGAAGGAACATGGCTCACCCAAGATGGCTAGCCTGGGCCCCTCTTACCCTTGAGTTGTAACTCTGCATTTTTTGCTGGGTTGTCAGCCTCGCTTCTCCAGCATGTACCTCACACGGAGCTATCCTAAGGGAAAGAAGGCCTAAGGATTAGAGTATTTTGTGTGGA